CGCGAGTCAAGTTCCTCACAGAGGAGGAGTCGCGGGAGGCGCGGAAGTTGGAGAAGAAGCTGCGCGAGATCGCAGCCTTGGAGCAGAAGAGTGCAGAGGGCTCGCGCCTGGATGTGCTTCAACAGAAGAAGCTGGAGACCAAGGCCGAGTTGCAGGATCACAAGGTGATGCGCAAGCTGCGCATGGGATATGTGCCGGTCACTCTGAACTAGATGTGCAGTTTTTGGGCAAAGTTGCCCAATTCGAGAGAATTACAAAGAGGCCGTGGCGCCTTCTGTGCAGTGTACAGTTCGCCCATCCGATCCACAGCCACTCTCTAGCAGCTTGTGCTCCTTAGAGGCAAAGTTCTTTTTTTGCGCTGTGCCGCTCGTTTGGCAGTCAAGCATTTTGAGTCATGATGTTGCGACAGCTGCATTCATTGCACTCTTTGCGTGCCAACCACTTGAACATGCCACATGGATTTGGGCCCAGGAATGTGCCTGCATTGTCGCGCTTGATCCCATCCCTTTGCGCTTAGCATTTCAGTCATGGCAGCTGTGGCAGCCAATAGCGTTTGCGCGCGGTGCAATCGCAGCGGACACATTGCGGCCATGTGCAAGGAGTCCTTCATCCTGCAGTGCAAGTACTGCAAGGAGCTGGGTCACAGGGTCTCTGTCTGCCCAAGGCTCCGGGAAAAGGAGAAGAAACTCACAGAGAGGTTGCAGAAGCGGGAGATGGAGAGGGAGGATTCCCGCAGCGTGGCTTCAGTGAGCACGGCTACTGCGACTACTGCGAGCGCAACTTCAGTGGGAAGTGCCGACACGGATTCCAAGTGGACGCGGAAGGAATGGAAGCACTGGCAGGCAAGGCCGCGAGTCAAGTTCCTCACAGAGGAGGAGTCGCGGGAGGCGCGGAAGTTGGAGAAGAAGCTGCGCGAGATCGCAGCCTTGGAGCAGAAGAGTGCAGAGGGCTCGCGCCTGGATGTGCTTCAGCAGAAGAAGCTGGAGACCAAGGCCGAGTTGCAGGATCACAAGGTGATGCGCAAGCTGCGCATGGGATATGTGCCTGTCACTCTGAACTAGATCTGCAGTTTTTGGGCAAAGTTGCCCAATTCGAGAGAATTACAAAGAGGCCGTGGCGCCTTCTGTGCAGTGTACAGTTCGGCCATCCGATCCACAGCTACTCTCTAGTTACCAGTTGGCAGCTTGTGCTCCTTAGAGGCAAAGTTCTTTTTTTACGCTGTGCCGCTCGTTTGGCAGTGAAGCATTTTGAGTCATGATGTTGCGACAGCTGCATTCATTGCACTCTTTGCGTGCCAACCACTTGAACATGCCACATGGATTTGGGCCCAGGAATGTGCCTGCAGTGTCGCGCTTGATCCCATCCCTTTGCGCTTAGCATTTCAGTCATGGCAGCTGTGGCAGCCAATAGCGTTTGCGCGCGGTGCAATCGCAGCGGACACATTGCGGCCATGTGCAAGGAGTCCTTCATCCTGCAGTGCAAGTACTGCAAGGAGCTGGGTCACAGGGTCTCTGTCTGCCCAAGGCTCCGGGAAAAGGAGAAGAAACTCACAGAGAGGTTGCAGAAGCGGGAGATGGAGAGGGAGGATTCCCGCAGCGTGGCTTCAGTGAGCACGGCTACTGCGACTACTGCGAGCGCAACTTCAGTGGGAAGTGCCGACACGGATTCCAAGTGGACGCGGAAGGAATGGACGGAATGGCAGGCAAGGCCGCGAGTCAAGTTCCTCACAGAGGAGGAGTCGCGGGAGGCGCGGAAGTTGGAGAAGAAGCTGCGCGAGATCGCAGCCTTGGAGCAGAAGAGTGCAGAGGGCTCGCGCCTGGATGTGCTTCAACAGATGAAGCTGGAGACCAAGGCCGAGTTGCAGGATCACAAGGTGATGCGCAAGCTGCGCATGGGATATGTGCCTGTCACTCTGAACTAGATCTGCAGTTTTTGGGCAAAGTTGCCCAATTCGAGAGAATTACAAAGAGGCCGTGGCGCCTTCTGTGCAGTGTACAGTTCGGCCATCCGATCCACAGCTACTCTCTAGTTACCAGTTGGCAGCTTGTGCCCTTCAGAGGAAACACTCATTTTGAGTCATGATGATGAGACTAGACATTCTCATTGCACTCTTTGCGCGCCAAATCACATGGATGAATGTGCCTGCACCGCATTGTTGCTTCTGACCCCATACCTTTGTGCTTATCAAGAAACACTTACTGATATTAGATGAGGATTTGCATTCAATCTTTGCGGAGTCCGCCTTTTTTTTCCCCGCTTTTGACAAAGCCTGGATTCCAACGCCCTGCTTCTCGCAGGAGAGGGTCTATGTGAAGAGTCGGCAAGGATTCATCAAGTACTGCCTGCAAGGGGGATACCGCATCACACCGGATCCGGACTTAGACTGAAGCTCTGGGAAGGGCGCTTGTATCCAGCCATTGTAGCGGACTTGAGTCGGCAGCAATGCGCTGCGTTGCAGTATGAATTGCCCATGCCTACTTCCAGCCTTCGCTGGGATACTCTGGAGTCCTGCTAAACCAGGTTGGTGCAAACCGCTGCATTTGGCATTTTTGACCTTTTTGCGAGGTATACTCCTTCGGCGAGACGGACACCTACTGGACCTTCCGGCCACTTTTGAAATTCAGGCTCAGCCTTGCCAAGCAGAACATCCCTGCGGCGGCAATGTTTGGAAATCCGCTGTGCCCCTTGCTCCCTCGAAGAAGCTTGGACGCAACTTCTGTCCAGGGCATGCTCTCTTCAGGCTTGTAGGCAAGCTTAGAATTTGCACCCACACGATGCCACCTTTGGGGCTTGATCTTGGGCGTGAAGAGTGTGAATCAGCATTCTCAAGGTGGCGATCCTATCTGTCGGCAGTACATTTCACGACCCAATACAGCCATATTTAGCTTGGGTGAAAGCCGGATGCAGCGGGCTTACCAGTCCAAGGAGAAGCAGCCTTGAGAACTTTTGTCGGCAGCCCGCTTGAGTTGCCCCTGCCTCTTGAATGCAGCACAGACTAGTTCTTACGCTTTTGGCATGGCGTGATCTGGCCGGCATGTTTCGATGCATCAACACATCCTCTGGTCCAGGGGCAGGCAAATCATCGATTGCACAGCTCGTTGCTTGAGTCTTTTGAACGTACGCGACACGTGCGTGCAACATCAAGCAATTGATATTTCAATCTGAATCAGCGATGTAATTCTTTTGTGTGTGAATTGCAGCCTGAACTAGATGCTCTTTTGGCCTCAACTGCCGCAGTGACCACATGTTCAGAGTTCAATGCTTGCCATGCCACAAACATGTATACTCGTTTGTGTGTATATATATATATATTATATTGTGTAACATACCTTAGGTAATACACCAGAGCATGTTGCTTTGGCTCCGCCTACACTCGAGTCTTAGGATCGCGGAACCAACCAAAGAAGAGGTCCAAAAGTATCACGCGAAGTACGTGGAAGCGCTGAAGGCTTATCGCTTTGCTTTGCGGGTGGATTACACGATCGCGCAACAAGTTTTACCTTGACTTCTTTGCTTGGCAAGCCTCAAGGAGTAGCATTTCTCTAACCAATTTCAAGAGAATGGTTGCCTGCAGGAGTAAGAAGCCATGGGAGCAGACATTCAGGCAATGCAATCTGTCTCGTCGACGTCATAGTGCGAACCGAACCTCGCAGCCGACCATGTGTTGGTGACTTTCCTCTAGCCAGAACTGCACATGCTGGCCACGAAGAGTCTTCTTAATTCTTAAGAAGGCAAATTCCTCTCACCATTTTTCAAGCCACACTGTGAGATTCTTGCGATGATTTTTGCATGATTGTTATCATTGTCTTTTCGTAGCATGCGGCAGGAAGTCTTTGACAAGCACAAGGCAGAAGCCGGTCTCCCCGACGCTGTCCTGGAGATTTGGTGAGGCATCCTTCGCCTAATGCGGCGCCTGCCATTGACACCCAGTTGGTCATCCTCTTTATTTTTCAGAGGTCACAAGCTGGCCTTGTTCACATTGACATGGCAGCAGTTCCAATAGTGGCGAGTAGGACAGAGTTGCTTGACGAGTCATCCATAGGCCGACTGGGTCAATCAGTTCGTCAGTTCTCATGGCGTGCATCGCCTGGTCATCCATGGACGCTGGCTCAGCGGCTCCTGTGGAACGCTTTTGGCCGTGGATTTTCCAATTGTTTGTTGCTCCAAGAGCAAATCTGGGCCGAAAGCAGAAGCTGCTCTCAAGAGCCTATATCTGAAGTCTTTATTCCAGGGCCTGGCGCTCCAAATGGAGCACTTGGCTGTGCAGCCAATACTGTAAAGGATGGAGCAGTACTCGGTACAGATTCGTTGTGCCACAATCACATATTTCTTAATTTGCGAAGCTTACTGCGCTCTGTGGCAAGCACGGGTCCACCCGCTACGTTAGCATCGACGCCCGGCTTAGTTCAAAGGTAGCTCATGTTTTTTTCTTCGGAAGATCCTGTGCCCCTTGAAAGCCTTGACCAGGAGCGGTTTTGGACAACGGCATGAGAACCTTTGACAACAGCAAGGGCATATTTTTCGCATCACTTTCTCTTTTTTTCCATCTTGCTGCAATGCCCTCCAAGCAGATCAGCTAAAGATGCCGCCGAAAAAGCTGAGAGAGAAAACAAAAGCGCATGTGCAGGGCGCAGTGCTGCACTGTGTGGGATGGCCTTTGAGGATGCCCCTGGGTGTAGAAGTCTGAACGTGAGCGAAGGCCGGAAATGATGAACAGTTGCCCATCCACCCAGATTTTACGTAAAGTTGTGGCCGCTGTTTTTTGCCCGTAAATGCAAATGCTTATGGGCTGCAGCTATGTGTGATGTTGCTTGAAGGCTAGAGGCCACTTTAAATGGAGATACGGCAGGTTCACCAGAATTATTTGAGAATGACACTTCATTGTGGTAGAGCCTCTAAACACAGTCCAAGTGAAGCTTTTCTAGTTTGAGTGGAACTTGCCTTGTTGATGGTTGAGATTTAGGCCTCCGCCTGGGCTTCCGGCCAGCGACGATTCTCAGGTGCACTGCGCTGA